ACTTAATTTTTGATTCTTCATGCAAAGTTAACAATTGGATAACACTTTAGTTTTTTTAATAAAATCAAATGTTTCGGGATCCTAAACCACAAAATAATTTTTAAAAATAAGGTACCGATTATGTCATTAAAGAACATTGACCAAATATCTGGATTGTGTAATGGTAGAAGATTAATCGTTGAGAAGTTGAGAAAGAATATTATCACTGCAATTGACGTTTTGGGAAATCAGTTGGGAAAAAAATTTATATACCTCGAATGAATTTGGTATCATTTGATTCAGGACTACCCTTGAAATTGTAGAGAAGACAATTCTTAATATTATTATATTTTGTTATGACTATTAACAAAAGTCTAGGTCAAACATTGTCTTTTGTTGTATTATTTTTAACCAATTCAGTATTTACTCATAGTTAGCTTTATGTTACTTTTTCACGAGTGAAGACAAAGACATAATTAAAAATATTGGTTCTAGATGATAATGGAAATCCTTACAACCATACCAAAGATGTTGTGTACCCTAAAGTCTTTCAAAAAAATTGAAATTAAAAAAGATTTTTTCGAGTACACTTCCAGTTCCTCAAATACTATTTATTCTACTTTGTCGTTGTTCATTGATTAAAAATCGTGTTAGAAATATATTTTATTTGATTCCGGAAAATATATTACATTGAAAAAAAATTGGAATCGACAAAAAAATTGTTCGACCCTGTGCGTCGCACGGGTAAAAATACTAGTAAAAAAATAAATAAAAGATGCTTGCCAAACCGTGGTCGCGCTCACGGACTAGCGGTCACGCGACGACATGGCAGTGCCACAAAGGAGCATAGAGAGGACGGAATTCTTAATTAAGATTCACATGTAAAATGTGTACATTCTCTCACCTTTAATAGGCCGACATGAAGATCTTTAAGTTTTTTTAAAAAGCTCAAGTTATCCATGTTGTTTATATAATAAGATCCATAAAATAATTGTGGTCCTTAAGATCACAGGAAAATTTACCAGAGACGACTACTCACACTTCTCTCATCCACATTATCTTTTTGGTTGTCTCAATAATCAATACACAACTTCCCATTTATTTTTCTTTATCTTTTACATCAAAAGGATTACTAAAATATGAAGTTCTATATTTGTCATGCGACTCATGTAATTTTTTTATTATTTAATATTTATATTCTATAATTATTTTAATTTCAAAATTTATGGAAAATAGAATTATGCTTCATCAATTAATATATAAAAAAATAATAAAAATTATTTTTTTAAATGAAATTGAATCAAATTTGTATACTTTAATTTAATTTAGGTAACTTTAAAAAAAGTAAAGAATTACATTACGATGTAGTAAATATCAATTAAATTAACTGAAAATGTGGATACACTAATTAATTCTTATATATTTTTGTACATAATAATTTTAGTTTTCTGTTTTTGAGACAACAATTCTATTTCAACTTTTTGATACTCGGTATGTTTTTTTATATATCAAATTTTATTTATAGTCTTTATATTTGAAAACAAGTGTGTAGTTGAAATTTATTTGAAAGAAATATAATTAAAATGTTCACATATCTATTTTTCAAAAGAAAAAGTGGAAAACTTGAAAATTAATTTCTAGACAAAATAATTTTTCACAATTTATTCAACATATCTTTATAACAAATAACTAACCGAAATATTAACAACCAAATTAAAGAAATATACCTTCAGAGTACATTACCCCAAATTTTAATACCCTTAAAATATATTTTAGATAATGTGGACTTGTGAGTTTTATAGTACTTTTCTCCTAAATTACATAATTTACTTCCTAATTTAACTTTGCATAATATTTAATAAAGTAGAATTTGTATAATACAAGTTTGTGTAAAAGAAAGAGAAATAAAATATATTATACATTTTTTTCTTTTAAGAATATGGAAAAATTTTTTGGGATAATCCAAAGAGTCCCTATATTGTACATCAGAATCTACGGTATTTCCCATACATTTGTATGTACGGTATTTCCCGTAGATCCTGGTGTACAGCTTTATGGTACATCCACACAAGTATTCATTTCTGAATAACAGCATACTCATTTTGCATATTTATTTATCTATTTAAGTATTTATTTAACTAGACAGATAAACTTAAATAAAAAATATACAACAAATGTACAATAGTTTATTTGGGGTACTTACCGTGCTTCGTTTATAAAATTCATAATTCCTACTCCTCCTAATACCCCTTAAACCCACACCCAATCTCCACCCCACCCAGCCCCCTGCACCCTCCCCCCCTTTAATTGCCATTTGTGATTAAGGGAGAGGTGCATGGGAGAGCTAGGTTGGGGATTGGTGGTGAGGGTTTGGTGACATTGGGATTTAAGAGAGTGTTAAGGGTAGAAACCATCAATTTTACAAATAAAGTGGTGTAGGTACCGTAATCGAATTATTGTACAATCATTGTATTTTTTGTGTACCTATATCCTTTCCCTTTGTTCGAAACATGTAAACTACGAGGGAAGAAGACTTAAGTAGGAGTTTAATATAGAGAAAGAACTAAAAATAATACTCCCATGAATTTATCCTCAAAATAGGACCTAAATTCAGTTTTAAAAATCGCGCTGATACATTAATAAAATCAACACCAATTATTTGTCATTGTAAATCGTAATGCATATTGGGCAAACATAACTCGACATAATGCCAAATATGTCAATGTATAATGTTAAAAACAAAATGAAATAACAAGAAAAAATGTAATTTGTCAACCTACAATGTCACATTCACATCACACACAAAATTAAGAAAAAAGGAGTAGAAATTGTGGTAATAAATTCAAGAAGAGTATTATTTATTTCTGCTTAACCTATTTTTCGTCCTTGTTCATGGTTTTGGCAATCACAATATTCGATCATGTTATTGTTTATACAATAAAATTGATAAGGATGAACAATTAAAACTATGGTAAGATCAAAAAATAAAATCTCATAACGTAATTAATTAATACTCTGTGGGCTTGAGTATAATTGTAGTAGTTACGTTGTGACACCTCCCCGCTTTAAATCTATGGCTCGACAAAATACTAAATACCATACAATTCATTCCCCTATATCTTCAGAAAGGGTGCTGATAATCATACTCATTTAAAGACTAAATTCACCCAATTTTGCTTTAACTATTTAACAAAATAATAAAAGACAATGATAACCCCAACCCTCCAAAAAGTATTATAGATTCACTATGTAGTTCAGGTTGATGGATTTGTTGAAAATTTTTTTGCTCTTCTTATTACTCACTTCTTGTCTTGAGGCTTGGAGATAGGTGCATAGAGTGTGTTTGAAACTAAGAAGATTCTTGAGGTCACCCCTTAATAATACAATCAAATCATCTGCATAAGCTAAATGAAAGACTATTTGACTCTTCCCTACCTTAAAAGGGGTTAAAAGCTATGAAAGAACTGCCTACTTCATACTCTTAGAAAACTCTTCAGATCCTATAATGAAAAGAAGGAGGGATAATGGATCTCCTTGTTTAACTCCTCTCTTAATTTTGAAAAATTGAGCAGGTCTTCCATTAACAAAAATGGACATGTGTGTGGATTTGAGATTCTGTACAAGAAAAGAGGTGCACATCTCATTAAAACCAAAAGCTTTAAGAATTGCCTCTAGATAAGTCCAAGACATCTTTGTTGGAACAAGGGTTTACGCCTATGTCGTACTAAAACCGTGTTCGTTTTATGACAGGTTTTGATAATGCCAAACCGCCGCAAAAATAAGGAGACGTTGAACAAACTAAAGGCGAAGAAGCAATGGCATATTGATCAAGTGAAAAAGAGAACCAAGAACAAAGAACAAAGACTTAAAATAATTTTTCATAAGTTTTTAACAAGCCAAAAAAACTTGGAGTTCGCGCAAACCAAAACCAAGTCGTCTGGCGTTCGCCTTTTAGAAACTGGCATTCATCTTTCATAAATTGGCGGTGAAACTTCCGGTGGGGTTTGTGGCTAGCTCCGGCAACTTCACACCAAATTTTCAGCACCAATGAACTCTCCACTCAACAAGGAACACAGTGATACTAACTTGGAAAGGATTGGTGCAGAAATGGGAGAGGAGGAGTTTCTTATATAGCAAGAGGAAGATGAAGAAGACATGGGGAGCTGAGTTGCTGCTGCGTAGGATTTCCAATTCACAATCTTCATTCGGCGATAAAGAGATTCAGCACGTTACTCCCTGATTGGACTAATTTGCTCCGAGTCAGGGAACACTTTTTGGTCCAACTTTCTCCGAATTGAATTTCATTTGCACCGTTACGATCGGATAGTTAAACTCTATCCAACGACATAATTTTTATATTTATTTGTAATATTTTTTCCGACATCATATTTTTTGGTGTTTGACCTCGACAGAGTCAAAATTGGTTTAATTAACCTTACTCAAAAAGGTTCTTACATTTAATTTATTCTTACGATTCATTTCAATAAATCATTTCAAAGTTCACATCATAAATAAATTCTTCATTTATTCTTAATTTGGGTTTCTATAGTACACAGGTTCCCAATTAAGATCACACAATAAATCAACATATTGAATTTATCTCTATGAGATTTATCCAGATTATGATATTATATATGAGAACATATTTCATTTCGGCACAAAGCCCAACAATGATTTATTTTAATCAAAGCAAATTTGATTAATTGAATAATTATCTATTAATAATTCTAGGGTATGTTTTGGGGTGTTACATTATTGGGGACAGAATTGCTGAACCCTAAGTCGCGCTTGATTGGACATCACATGGACACAAGAGGTCGTTCGAGAGTACCAAAGGTACCCACGACTCCAAGAAGACCAAGTCTGCGCTAGCTCACTCTCAAGCAGCGAGCAACCAATCAAAACCCTCGAGGTACCCTGTTTGTAACTTATGTGGGAGAAACCATCCGTGTGACTGTTGGATTACACATGGTGTGTGCCTAAGCTGTGGGAAGGCTAGGCACTTCCGTATTGTCCTAGTAATCCAGGACGAGCCTTTCATATAGCTAAGGTCCTAGTATGGTTTTTTTTTACTTTTTTTTGCTAATTAAAGAAAGTATGCGTTTTTTCTCTTGTTTTTTCCTAGATTTTTTCTTTTTTCTAGTTTTCATTTTGTCATTTATATTTTGCTATTTTTCTCTTTTTATTTGCTATTTGTTGAAATCGAATCTTTGGAATTGATGCAAAAGAAATTTTTTTCTGTATTTTTTATGTTCGTTGAATTAAAATGTTTGAAATTGATGCAAGGATTTTTTTCTGTATTTTTTGTTGTTTGTTGAAATACAATGTTTGAAATTAATGTTAAAAAAAATTCTGTATTTTTTTCATCTGTTTGTTGAATTAGAATGTTTGAAATTGATGCAATTGTTTGATTACGTTTACCATATAAATATTTATCAAAAAATTATTTTACGTAATTAGAATATTATATAATTTTATGTACAAAGTCAATTATAATTTGACGGAAGTCACTCAAAACACAAATTTAAACTTATTATCTTATTTTACCTATCTTTCAGGTACGGAATAAAACTCTCCCTTCCTCCCTCCAAACTTACCCTAACACTATGTTTGGTTCTAAGATTTCCGGTAAGTTATTTTATACACTGTATTCTCTAGCGATTCGGGAGCTTAGCAATATGAATAGTCATTATGATTTATTTCAATAAATTAGTTGTGTTTAGGGTTATTTACTCAATCTCTCCCATCTTATTGTGCCTACTATGTGGTTGAGAAGATGAGTATTACATATTTTCATCTGTAATTTTGCATTATTCCATAATTATGTTTATTTTTGAGTCATTAATTTGTATTAATTCTAGTTTCTTAATCACTTTATTAAGGGTTAACAACTAATAAATTTATTTATTTATTATAAAATATTTTATATACAATTACACTTTATAAAATTTTTAAATAACATGCAATACTCTTTCTTTGAATGAAATTAACTTAAATTATACTCCCTCCGTCCATTAATTAACTTCCCGGTTTGACCGAGCACGCATATTAATGCATGATAAAAATTGTATTGACTTTCCTAATTTACCCTTAACATGTCTACTACCCCTAATGCTTCTCCACCAAGGTGAGTCATCATCTCTCACTGTCAAAGCTACCGCCGACGACTCCCCCGCAGCGCCGACAACAATTCTCCGGCATTGCCGCCGCCGACTCTCCGGCACCATCGCAGATGATCTCTCTTGCACTTGTAGCCACCATCGCATCCACAATCCCCACCCAAGTAAATCTGTTCTGGATCTTCTCATGGAAGACAACACATCGGCAAAATAGTAGATGCAAGGTTTTAATGGCGGAAAAAGAGCAGATCTAAGGTTTTGATTGAGGCGGAAGAAAAGATTTTGCAAATCGAACATGGGAGCATCAGAGGATTTGTAGATCTATACCATCACTGCCAGCAATGTCAAAAGAGGAGCGGATCTGACCGCCGGCTCGCTGCTCCACCATTAATTTCGATCGCCGCCTCGCTCCCAATCAATGGGTGGTAGGCCAAAATCAAAAGGGGAAAGAAGAAAAGATAAAAGAAGATGAAGAAGAAAAAAGAAGAAGATGATGACGATAGAAGAAAAGAAAGAAGAGCAAGAAGAAAAGAAAGAATAAGAAGAAGAAAAAGAAAAGAAAAGAAAGAAGAAGATGAGGATGATTGGTGGAGAGAAGAAGAAAGATGGAGAAGATAAGGATTGGGTGGTGGCGCTGGATAGACTTGCCGGGAATGAAGAAGAAAAGTAGGGGAGGGTAACAAAGTCATTTGATATAAAAAAACTTGCCAAAAGAAGTAATGAGAAGATAATTTGTGGACGGACGAAAAAGGAAAGTGGGAAGTTTATTTATAGACGGAGGGAGTATAATATATTGAATTTTAATATGCATATGTCGAATGTACAATAAGTATTCTATAAAAATCTCCGTGTTTTCCATTCATAGTGCAAGTGGAACAAAATAACCTCACAAAGCACTTTATATATTGGGATTAATAATGTTACTTTTTAAAAGAATATGATGATGTGGTGTGATTAATCTTTTTTACTTATTTAACAACAATGTGAAAAGTTTTTATTGGCAATGAAACTGATAAATGTGTACGTACAAAGTGTGTAAAAAAATAAATATGTGAAATGAGCACAAGGTAAACTTGTAAATGTATGACAAATATACAATGCCACCGTACATCCAAATTTATAATATACGACTTCTCCAATACATACAAAGATGTTTTTTTATTTGAGTTATGTTTTCTTATATATTTATTTGGGTGATTTTTTTCTTTTATCCAAATTCTTTTCTTTTTATTTAAATTAAAATAAAAAAACTTTCCCTAGTGAATTAAGATTTATAAATAAAAATTCTCCCCTTTAACCATAATTTTGGAACATGGGTTAATGTCATGCAACTTAAGAAAAAAAATTAATAAAAACATGAAATTTCCAAAGTATAATATTAATTTCAACAACTTTTCCCCAACATTTTCCAACTTCTTTCAATTGTTTCCAACTGAGTGTTTCTTGATTTCTTGATTTTCTTCTAACTCCATCCAATTTCTCTAACTCTTTCATGTTTCTTCTAACTCTGAGTTTCTTTCAACTCCTTCCAATTTCTTCCAACTCTTTCCAATTTTTATCTAATTCCTTTCAGTTTCTTCTAATATCCAACTATGTTTTTCCAACCAAAACATGTCCTAAATATGATGTTCTAGAGTTTTTGCAGGTAGCATTTTTTATAATTGCAACCATCCCAAAATTAACTTTCTACTTTCATGTATTTATTTATTTATAGTACACCTATAATTATACATAAAATAAATATTATAAACATATGATTTTTGAAAACTATATTTCCAAATTAATATTCCCTCCCGCAATCAAAGTCCAGCGGTTGTTCGTGTTTGATAGTCAAATTGTGCGGCACAAAGTGTGAACATACGTTTGATGATGTATGCACGCCTCCAATAATAGTCACTAACCGTGATTTCCATATATCATCGCGACAAACTTGCAACTGCATGGTGATAGATTTGACAATGGATATTTTGGTGCATCAATTATCAATATTAAGCTAAGATTAATATTAGTCATTTTGAGCAGATGACTGCATTATTAGTCATTATGAGCTAAGATTAAGTCTATCAAAGAAGTCTTTCAACTTAAGTCTATATATACATATTCAAATTTGTATTTGTTTTACTTCCAAATACTAAAAAAATTTAAATTCTTGTTCATATTTGTTTTCATCAGTATGAATCGTTTGTATTCGAATACGAATCACGAACCAAACCAAAATTATTTGATTCATTTACGCCCGGCGTAGGAGAGTGTATAGTCTAGTTTGAGGTTTGGTTTGTGGAACACTGGAACGTAGGGACTCGTCCGCTAGGGTGAATCCTTGGACTAGAAGGGGGGCAGGAGTGTGTCTAATCTAGTTTGAGGTTTGGTTTGTGACATAGGGACTCTGATTGGTAAGTTTATAGAGCTGATGAAGGTTCTTAAGAAGCGGAGAATTCATGTGGTGTGCCTGCAAGGAGACTAGATGGTAAGATGAGTGGGCACTATGGCACGTGATGTGGATGGGTTTAAGTTGTGGTACTCCGGCGCTTTGAGGAACAAGAATGGGGATCGGCATTTTTGTTTCCCAGGATCTTCAGGAGTCTGTGGTTGAGGTTTGCTGACATCACTAATGTCACATGGAACCATAGTGACATACCAAGATTTGGCCGCCGGATTGGTGCTTAACTTTGGGGCATTGCCTCGAAGTTTATTGGGCGATCAGTGAGGAAATGCCCAAGTAAGGTGAAGTGGAGTATCAGCAAGAAGTGCCGCAGTGGGTTATGGTCAGCTTCAAGGAGGATGGTGGGTTGGCAGGCAGTGGGATGCATGGTAGGGATGCCATGGTAGAGTTCAGAGGGTCTTCTGCCATGAAAGGTTGGAAGGCGGAGGTTATTGGCCGTATTAAGAGAAACAAAGAAATTTAGATGTGATGATAAGCTCTCATAAAGGGTGAAGGTTGAAGAGGAAGAAAACCAAAAAAGATGAGAGGAAAACTGTAATTTACGCAAGTATAAGTATTGCTACAAACCATAATGTCAGTGAATTTATTTAATTACTATACTTCCGTTTGTACCTTCTTTCTTCTAAATCCAACGAGTTTTGTGTAGCTCGTAAAAGTGCATACATTAACTTGATGATGTGCATGCTCTGAGTATGTGAAAAAATAAATAAATTTGTGCTTTCCTGTAGTTTCATTTTTATCTTTTAATGGATTGGAAATGTTATTTGCAACAAAATGAAAAATTCTTTTAACGAAACGAGCATTGTACAATTTTTTAATGTGCATATATTAATTTTATACTACGTAATGTTCATGTTCTAGAGTATCTACAAAGAAATAAATATGTGAAATGAGCATTGTGTAACTTTTAAATGTGCATATGCCAGATGTATAAGATAAGAACTCCCACCACCAGGGTTTAGGGAGAATCACATAGCCATTTATGTTAGGTTATGGAGCCTGATGCTTAATGATTAAGTTTGCTTAATGGTTAAGTTTACTTAATGGCAAAGTTTACTTAATGGCTAAGCTTTCTTAATGGTTAAGTTTACTTAATGGCTAAGTTTGCTTAATGACTAAGTTTTCTTAATGGTTAAGTAAGTAGAGGTTGTAATGCCTATATATATTTTCCTTTGTAGCTAATTTTTGTAGAGAGGTAAGAGTCAAATTCTCTGTAATTGTATCTGCCTGAAATCATCAATAAACACATCTAGCCGCCGTGGAAGTTTACTCACGGGGTGTTACCACGTTATTTCACGTGTTTCACTTTCTCTCTACTTTTACTCTCTCGTTTTTTCTTCACCTTCTTCATCGGATTTCTGTGAGTGTTCTTGATTTGATCCTAACA